GCCTGCCTCTTCTGATGGCCGAATCAAGAGAGGAAGAGCCCTCAGAACCCTCCAGAGAAGGCCACACCCTCAAGGAGGGATGGTCAGGCTGTCATCTGGCTGACCCCACCGCTTCATTCGCTTATCAAGTTGACATGAAAGTGTGCAACTACCAGAGTATCCAATTGTTCAATGTTTGTTAATTTTTACTGTAACAAAGGGGTATTTGTGAACTTAAGTGGTCTCCAGTCTGATAGAATATGCAAACTTTTTTCACTGCTTCCTCTACCTTGGGAATGACATGACTAAACAATAACCGAGCATTTCGGTGAAAATTTCCAGAATTATTACTTATTTAGTCCTATCCAAACTCATTCCACAAAAGCTCCACTCATTGAAACAAATATATTCTAAGTACCTAAAATGATATAGGAATCTCTGCCAAATTTTCTAATTACATTCTGATTAAAGGTGAAATTCACAGAACATGAAATTAATTTTAAAGTGAATAACTCAGGGACATTTAGCATATTCACAATGGTGTATACGACCACCTTATTGAGACTCAAAACATTTCCATCACTCCAAAGCAAAACCCTTGACCCACCACGCAGTTTCCCTCCGTCTTCCCCGTGCTCCATCCCGTCTCTGGTAACCACCAGTCTAGTTTCTGTCTCTCAGGACTGATCTATTCTCGTAGCTCACATAAGTGGAATAATATCATATGTGGGCTTCTTTGTCTGGTTTCACTTGCATATATTTTTAGAGATATACTCACCTTGCAGAATGTATCGGTACTTCATTTTTTAAATTTTGAATTAATATTCCATTTTGTGTATTACAACAATGTTTACTTGGTTCATCTATTATTGAATAGGTGGGCTGTTTCTACCTTTGGCTTTTGTAAATAATGCTGCTATTATACATGCATATAGATATACATGACTATCTGTTTTCACTTCCTTTGTTGTTGTCTTTTAATCATTTTATTGGGAGCTCCTTTTTAGAAGTGAGGGGTCATATGTCCACAAGAAGCCATGATCACTAGCTAAAAGTTCAGCAGGTAAAGTCAACCTGGCATTCCACAGGAGAATACACTTGGTCATTATCTAAAACCACCACATACCTTTAGACCGACATGGCCAGACGTCTGGGCACATGGAAGAGGTTGGGCCCCTGCATCTGATCTGAACAAGCCAGCGAAATACCAATCCTCCTGCCATTACTTTGTGCACAAAATTACCCCAACAAAATAAAATGTTCTATAAGCCAAAATAATAGCTGGACAAGACTATACAAACTCAGGAGGAGGAAGGAAAAGTCTGCACTCACCGGGACTGTGGCAATCCTTTCTTGCTGAGATCTGCCCTCACGCGCTCTCCTACATGTCTGTAAATTTCCACTAGGCTGTTTATTGCTGCATCTCGAACCTAGATGTAAAAGAAGAGATCTTACACATCTGGTCTGTGTTACTCCTTGATCCACAAGACTGCTTGCGAGGAGACATTAGGCTACACATTCCCCAAAATGTATCACCAAAGTTATCAATGCATCTGTCAATATAATCTCTTACACACATTTGACTAAAGTCATGTTTGAAACGTTTACTATAGTGGCACAACTTTAAAGGGAAGGAGAAAAAAAGTGGGTTCCCAACCAGTATACACATTAAAGTCCCTTCTCTAGTTGCCCCCACCCCCATTTTCTAAGAAAAAAGACTTTTCAGACCATTTTTACAAAATAGAAGAATCACTACAAATAGATGAATCAAACTAAAAATAAAACACCAGGCAAAACATTCTGGATTTAAGTAACTAAACAAACCATGAGCCACAAAAATAGGTAGCACAGATTACATAAAGCTATATATTAAAGAAGCTCACAGTTCTAAAAAGAAATGATATCTGTATGGTCTACATTTAATACAGGACAGAATATAATAAATATTTTAGTACAAAGAGCTCCCTCCCACACTTTAAAAGCAGGCGCCACCACATCAGAACACGGTAAGAAATATTTCATAGAAGAAAAAGTCACCACTAAACATGAGCGTGGAAGGAGAATGTTTCCTGAGATAGAGGGGAAGGAGGCAGAGCTGTACACAGAGGCACAGCTTCTGTAAAGGCGTGAAGGGAAATGCAGGACACACGCGTCCAGAAGAGGGGAAGGGAAGGAAGGAAGGAAGGAAGAAAAACACCGGGGGAATTTTAATATGGACTGTATATTAGACAGTACCACTGATTCCATGTTAAATTTCTTGGGTTATATGAACATAAGAAAATAATTCTATTACTAGAGATCCTCACTGAAGGATCCAGGAGTAAAACATGAACTACAGCTGTGCAATTCACAGTCCAGTGATTAACCTACTGCATCACTACCAGGACCCTGTGTGTGTGCCTATCTCTCTATCTTTACTTTTAAAGCAGACTTACTGCCATCAAGACAGTCCAGAGTCAGAGCATCTCTCCCAGGGTTTCCCAGACAGCAAATCTTTACAGGAACAGACACCTTCTTCTTTCTTCTAGGAGCGGCTAATGGATTTTAACTGCACAATTAGCAGCCCAATGTCTAACCCACTGTACCACCAGACCCACAAACATAAGGGAGGGATATAACATTAATGTGACAAATATTAACTAGTAAGTTACAAAGTAAGATACTATACTATACCTTTCTTTGCATTGTTATGTGTAAGTTAAATTTTTTTTTTTTTTTAAATAAAAAGGCAGGGGAAGTTTTTAGATGGAACCAAGACCTTAATGGCTAATTGGGTAGAGTATGAAGGGGAGGAGACAGCGTTTAATTCAGTAGAAAAAAGACAGAAGAGAGACATGTTTTAGAATTAATTTCATGTAGGAGACCACAGTAACCAAGAATGAAGAAAAGAGAAAAAAGTCGGACTGTAACTTGAAGCCTAAGCTCACTGCCAGTGAGACAATGCTGACTCACGGCCTCCCATGGATTTCTGAGGCTACACATCTTCCTAGAGGAGAAACAAACCCCCACAGGCTTGACGGGCTCAGCCTCCTTCCTGGGCACACAACACCCGACAATTCTGAGTGTTACAGGCCACTCTTTGACAGCGGAACACAACAGGTCACTATCACCCCCTGCACCTGCCTCTCCGCACGAAAGGGCAGGTTTCAAGACATAGTATCTCATGAACCAGAACCTTTATCCATTCCTTTGGAGGAAAAATCATTTGTGATATTCAGAAGCATTTTTACATATAGGGATGCATATTTCACAAAAGTGCCCCATGCATAGCACTAGTTCCGATCGTTCTAATGATCACATCTGCTCAGAGAAAATCAGAGGGCTGTCTTAAAAGGAGCAATCAATATTCAGCAGCTATTTACAAAGGCTGGGCTGTAAACAGTTGAAAAGAGTCAGTGTGAAACGTCTCAGCTTTAGTCAAAGAATCGATGTGCATGAGGAGAAAGGCGGACACTGAACAGCTAACCTTGGATCGAATACACAAACTCTCTTGTCTCCGTTTCCTCTTCAGTAAATTAAGGTTGCTATGAAGACTCAAAGATATAAAGGATGCACTGAAGAAACCCTGGAGTGCCTAAAGAGGTGGCTACCGAGCAAAACGCAATGACCACTCAGGCCAGGCCAGTGTCCAAACCAGTGAGAGAAGCAGGCTCGGTGTGGGTGATGGATGACAGCGCCCTGCACACTGACTGAGGCCACCACTCAGACACCGCTGCGCCAGATCTCAGTCGGAAATACGTATCACCCAATTTAAAACTCATCTAGATTCAAACTATAAAATTAAAACACTTTGCATACACGCATAATCTGTAGGCTCTGACCGATAGGAAATAACAGGTTTTTTAATTCAAGCAGAGCTGTCATGCGGGCCCTGTTGCTTGGCACATGGCACCTGTGTAGAGCCCATCAAGAGAGCTGAGAAGATAAAACCCAAGTACACAAATGGCGAAGCACAGAGATGAGCAAGACTCTGAAGATGACAAATCCTGAAGCTCCTGACTTAAGGATGTCTGATGGGATAATAGATTTGCTCCGTTATTTTACCGATTTTGAATGAGGTTTCCAGTTACCAGTAGCGTCAAGCACCCAGACTCCTGCCACGCACGCAGCACATCTGTGGGCACTCCGAGACGCTGCTGAGGGGCTTTCCCTGCTCACTCGGAGTCACTCAGTACTCGAACCAGCGTTCAAATGAATTCATTTCCCTGAATAGGCATCCAGAAGATAGGTGTGACAACGGGCCTTTATAAACACTGTAACATGGACATCCTGTGGTCCTAAAGAGTTGCCATGAGTAGGAAGTGACTCCGCAGTAAAGATTTGTTGTTTGGGGGTTTTACTAATCTTTTTCTTGGGAGATAGTGCAACTCTTAGCACAATCCATACATACATCCATTGTGTGAAGCACATTTGTACATTTGTTGCCATCATCATTCTCAAAACATTTGCTTTTTACTTGAGCCCTTAATATCAGCCCTCATTTTCCCTTCCAACCTCTCCCCCTCCCTCACAAACCCTTGATAATTTACAAATTATTATTTTTTCATGTCTTACACTATCCAACATCTCCCTTCGCCTATTTTTCTGTTGTCCGTCCCCCAGGCACGGGGTTATACGTAAATCCTTGTCATCAGTTCCCCCTTCCTAGCCCACCTTCCCTTACCCTCCTGGGATCTCGACTCTCAATATTGGTCCTGAATGCCCTTTGTGTCTAGGTCTCATCTGCACTAGTGCACATCCTCTGGTCTAGCCAGATTTGTAAGGTAGAATTAGGATCATGATAGTGGCAGGGAGGAAGCATTAAAGAGCTAGAGGAAAGTTGTTGGTTTTATCGTTGCTATACTTCACCCTGGCTGACTCATCTCCTCCCCATGAACTTTCTGTAAGGGGGTGCCCAGTTGCCTACATATGGGCTTTGGGTCTCCACTCTGCACTACCCCTCATTCACAATGATATGATTTTTTTTTTTTTTGATGCCTGATACCTAATCCCCTGACTGGCTTGTCTCCTCCCTGTGACCCTTCTGTAAGGGGATTTCCAATTACCTACATATGGGCTCTGGGTCTCCACTCTGCACTACCCCTCATTCACAATGATATGATTTTTTTGTTTTTTGATGCCTGATACCTGATCCCATCGAGACCTTGTGATCACACAGGCTGGTGTGCTTCTTCCATGTGGGTTTTGTTGCTTCTGAGCTAGATGGCCGCTTCTTTATCTTCAAGGCTTTAAGACCCCAGACGCTATATATATTGATAATTGGGCACCATCAGCTTCTTCACATTTGCTTATGCACCGCTTTGTCTTCGGTGATCGTGTCGGGAAGGTGAGCATCATGGAATGCCAGTTTAATAGAGCAAGGTGTTCTTGCATGCAGGGAGTACTTGAGTAGAGGCCCAATGCCCATCTGCTACCTTAATACTAAACCTATAAATATATGTACATAGATCTATATAAAAATATTTTTACATAGGTACATGCCTGTATTTAGGCCTCTATAAATGCCCTCTGCCTCCTACTTCTTTCCTCTATTTCCTTTTACTTTCCTCTTGTCCCACTATCATGTTCAGCCTTCATTTGGATTTCAGTAAATCCTCTCGGTTACATTGCCCTTGATCAATCCCTATCAGGCCTCCTACACCCTCCTCACTATCGATTTTGGCACTTGTTGCTCCCTTGTCCCTGGCTTTGTTAACACCCAAATCCTTTCCCCCACCTCTCCCTCTCCCATGTCCCCCCAGAACCGTTGATCCTGTGGTTTTCGCCTCCAGATTGTTTATCCTGCCTATCTTATCTAGATAGAACTGCAGAGATGATAATATGCACAAAAAACAAGACAGAGAAACACAAAACAACAAAAGAAAACAATGACAAAAAGTAACCCAAACAAGAAAAGCCTGTAATAGTTCAAGGTCTGTTTGTTGACCTTTAGGAGTGTTTTCCGGTCGAGTCTGATGGGATGCCAAGCCCTTGGCCCCAAAGTCTACTTTTGTTATTCCCTGGAGACTTTATTGCTCTGTTCCCCTTGCTGTTCTGTTGCACACCCTTGTGTTTCACCTCAGTGTGGTGGGATCAGATCGGGCGCAATTCCCACACTGTGCCTTCAGTGTTGTCCCACATAGCACTCTGGGTCAGTGAGGGATGTTGTGTCTTGCAGTGGGGCCGGCCCTGTGCTCCTCTCTGTTTGTTTTTTCTTAGGAGAGTGATTTCTTGATGTCATTTTAAATGCCATGTTCAATCAATGTGAATGGTCACCTGAAAATCTATGTGAGGACTCTGGGGCATGCCTATTTTAGATGACCAAGTTATAGTCCTGACCCTCAAGACTAGTAGGAAAGACTAATGGAAGTATACGTGTGTGTGTGTGTGTGTGTGTGTGTGTGTGTGTGTGTGTGTGTAACAAAAGCACATAAACCGTCACACACTTCCCCAGAAACAGAAGTAATTACTGTGGTTAATAGCAGAAATCCAGGTGGTACAGCTTCCTGGTAGAAGGATTTCTGGAAGATATCGATTTTGTGTGCATGTTTGATGTGTACAAAAAAATTCTTCACAAAATAGAAAGAAAAATCCTATACTCTACAGCAATCATGTGTAGAAGTAAGATACAATTTAATTTAAATTACTTCTGTTTTTATGCTGTATTAAAACTAATAATCTGATCAGGAGCACATGATATTTAGTGATGATGCTAATTTCCGGCATATGTGAAGTCTGCACCAGAATTTTGTGTATCTGTGTAGTTTCGTAAAAGGAGATATTGGGAAAGCATGGTTACCTCCAGTACCACAAATTCAAAGGCACTAATATTAACTGAGATTTTAAAGTGTTGTCATAGTTTAAACACATGGTTTGCCCAAGATGTTCACAGAAATCCACTGGGATGTGGTTGGTGTGTGGTACCCACAGGTAATCACAAGCATCTTAAATCATCTTAGATTAAGAGGAGACTGCTTTAAATATGCACATATGGAGAGAGAGACCGCTGAGTCATTTGGGGCCTCTCTTACTAATTGCTGGCACCTAAGAACAGTTACCTTTCAATTCACATGCACCTAATTGGTCCTGATACTAACTCTGCAAGGCAGAGATCCACTGCCCTCACTGTCTTGTTCACTGAGATTAAGAATCAAGGATTCACCCCAAGGTAACTGTGTAAAACAAGCACCAGAGCTGGCTCCAACGTTCTCTAACCCCGCCTTTACGCACTACACCAGGTGGCTCAGTTTCTAAAATACTCTACTGTGCTCAAGCCTCAATACTATTTTAAACCTAAAATCAACTTAATTAGCAGTTTCAGAATATAGATTATGTTGATCACTTAAAATTTAATCTGTGCTACTTCCAAAACAAAGAGAAACTTAAAATTTAATCTGTGCTACTTCCAAAACAAAGATTAAAATCCCAACAGACCTTACAAATTACTCCCTCTTCTAGAGCTAAAGAAATCAATGTACTCAAAGATGGGGGGGGGGGGGGGATTAATTGCTTTAGATTTCCTTTCTAAACCATATTTAAGAGAACTCTAAAACAGGAACGTAAACTTCAGACAAATTCTATGAAAAAAAAAATCTATATTTTTGGCAGCTACTTGAAAGGCTTCAAGTAAAAGAACTTAACTATTTCTAAAATTTAAATATTCCCAATCCTCACTCAGTATCTTCAAGGGATAAACAGTCTAAGGGAGCAAAACACTGGCATTCCGCCCACAATCTCTCTAGGGTAACTCAATGTTCCCTCTGGGGTTTCCTCAGGCGGATGCGGTCCTTCTTGGCTGCAGAAATTAAATCTGAGCTCAAAAATTGAACCAAATTAATAGCTCCCTCCCCTAAAAAGTTCAAATATTCACACAACAAAAGCAGCCCATAGCATAAGCTCTAGGGAAATGTATGTAGAAGTAGGAGAAGAAAAAGAAAAAAAGGGGGGGGGGGAGGAAAATAAAGGAATTGAATTCTAGAATGTGTGCTGGAAAAATAAGTGCATTTTATTTCAATGTCTAGATGGTCCTGAACTTATTAGGTCCACGTTTTACACTGTATCCACAACGAAATGCTTTAATAGATAACATGTCTCCTACAGACCAGGTTTAAATATTTATATTACTTGCCTGGCCAGAATACACACTTGAATTGGGAACAAATGACTTCAATGAGCCATGTTCACGCTTCTGCTCTACTAAAAGAAATATGAGGAGACAAGATCCGGGGTGTAGGTTAAATGAGTTAAGGTTTCAAAAGAAAATTTTCCTATAACAGCCCTTATTACTCTCACAGAATAATAAAAAAAATTTCCTCCGTACAACTTTCCTATTCCTTTTCTTATCAATGCAGTTTTCAATTTTATGAACCTTCTTTATAATAAGGCCTCATGATCATCCATTTCTCTCAAGAAAATCTATCAAGATTGTCCTTCTGCAATCCCCAAAACCAATTTTAATGTTTCCCAAACTTGAAAACATTTAAAAAGAACATGATTTGAGTCCCAAGGGGATCCCCAAAAAGCAAAGACCAGAAGAAAAGGAGTAAAATAATCCCTTTGGTAATTTAGAATCTTTTTTTCCCCTTAACAAGGTTAAATGAATGTTACTTAAAAATAAAATATGATTCAGTAAGTAAAAAAATACATAAAAATTGTATTTGCAATATCATATTTTCATTTAAACTAGAAAAGAAACTGAATAGAAAGAAAAAATATGTATGGCCAAGGAAAACCAAGACAAGAGACAGACGAAGAGCAGGAAGGGTGTAGGAACAGCAGCAGCAGCGCGAGCAAAAGAGGGCTTGAAAACTCAGGGAGCCCTGGAGAAGGATGAAGAAGAGACAGGGAATGAGCCGAGTTCCCACAGAGAGCGGACCTCCTAGTGGGTGGAAGCAAAAGGAGACCCTGATTCAGTCTTTGGACAGTATTCTGGCAAGTGCCAATTAAGATGTCCTTTGAGCTAATGAGGTGTTTTGCCTATCAGTTTAAACGAACTAATCTCATCATTTTTAAAAATAAATAGAATTGAAATAGGTATGCATTCCTAGCACCCAGACTTGTAAACCTTCATGAAGTGTCTCATAACGACTCAGGTACTAACTACTTCTCGCTGCCCTTCCTGCTAGGTCAGGGTATTCACAGCACTGAGTTTCCGACATTTCCTATAAACCCATCTCTAGGAACATGCATCAAATGGGCATGCAAGCAAAATTGCACATTTTCTTTTAAAAATAACTTACTTTACTTAAAAACAACACAATTATACACTATTAACGTATAAATGAAACTATGTGGTACTATATATGTATAGGAAATTTACAATATTTAACAGTATACAACATTCGAGACACGGGGTTTGGCGTATTGTAAGGGTCGCTTGGGTCAGTCAGTATGAGTCATCGCTGCGTTGCTTTTCTTTACACTTGATGGTTACTTTTCTAACTTTCTACTTCCATTTATATTTATTATCAAAGTAATGTTTTCCTGAATGAAACAGGGATTAATACACAATAAACATTCATGTCAAACTAATGCATATCCATATAAAATTTTGGAGTTAGAAGGCTAATTAGAAAATGAATGTGGATATATTTTTGTCTCATTATGTAGTCAAAAGTCACATAAGTGGTAGGAGATGAATGTAGACAGTTTGTCATTTTCATTGAGGAAGTCAAATTGTCACATCTGGACCTATCATTACCTTAGGTAAAATTTACATAAAATAACATGTCCCCAGCAGACCCCCTCAGAAGCCACTATTTTAATTGCACTTTTTTTTAAGGTCCCTTGAAGAGACTAAGTATAGTCCTAACAGAACTTTTCTGCAGCCCTCCCCTGATCCCAGAGACATGTCTAAACATGATTCGTTTGGAATCAGCCCATGCATCTACGATGCTAATAACTATTTTGTGACTTATCCTTGCATACAGAGAACATCAAAATGCATCTTTCACTGTTGGCAGCCAATAATTTTTCCAAGCATTGTGTTTCTCAGTAAACATACACTCACCTGACTGTTTGGATCGCCAAGTAAATTGCATATGTGTGGCACAATCTTGCTTAGTGTTAAAGTATGGGCTCCCGAGCTGAAACAAGGGTTTGTTGTTAGTGCGAGCCATGGTAAGCAGGTACCTTTCGGCCCATTCCTCCCTCCCTCCCTCCCTCCCTCCCTCAGCGCTTCCTGCTGGCGCTGAGGTTCTCTCCTAATCTCGTCCAGAGGAAACAAGCCATGGCAATCCCTGCGCAGACAGCAAATGCACCACTTCCAAAGCGTTAGTGATTTCTGCTCTGTCTCCCTGGCACGGGAGGGACTCTTGAATCTCATCCTAACTCCTCAAGGCCAAGTCAAAGCCCCGCCTTTCACAGGCCGCGTGTGCCTCCACACACAGCTGTCTGGAGGAGCCCCCCTCGGATGCCACCATTACTGCTCTGTCCAGGTGGGAGCGCCCAACTAAACCGCAAGCTCCCGTGGTGCCTCTGGGTCCTCCATCTCTGCGCCACCGTCCCTCTCTTAGTGGACACTGAGGTCATCGCTGCTGAACGGCCGCACAGCAACGGAACACTGTACTCTGGTAGAATGTTTACATTATCTACAACTTACCACCATCATAAACGCTGCTGTGAGGAATATCTTTTATGAACAGATTTCTTTATTCATCTGACTACTTCTTTAGGATAAATTCATATAAAGAAATAGAACTGCATGATAATAAAAAGATTTTTTTTAAGCTTTAAGCTCCATATAAACCAGTTGCTGTGGAATCAATACTGATTTATGACATCCTGTTCAGAGTAGAATAGGTTGTATTCAATGGCTGATCTTCAGCCCTTCCTTACAAATCTGACCCTCCTGTTAGCAGCCGAGCATGGAACTCCTCGCATCACCCGGGCACTTCACATTTCAAATGTAATGGCACTGAAAAACCCTGGTACCATATTAAGAGGGGATACTCTATAAAGTAATGCAAGCATTATGGATTTTTTTAATAATATAATTTACAGTCTCAAAATGCAATGTTAACATAATTATTCAAAGGTGAGACTTAAATTTTATTTTCGTCCTTGTGTGAATTTTCCCGTGATAGACCTATAATATTACTTTCATAATTGGAAGTTATTCACAATTATAATTTTTTAAAACCTCTCTCTAAAAAGTACATGAAAGAAAATGCTCAACACCATCCACCATTGGGGAAACACAGCTAAGACTATAATGAAATATCACCACACACACATCAGAATGGCTCAAAGAAAAATCAGTAAGAATATTCAAGTAAAGATAAAAAGAAACTGAATCACACACATACCCACAGCTTATTAATAAAAGCTGAAAAACAGAAGTAACCAATGGCTTCAATAGGTCAACGGTTAGACAAACTATGATTTATCTTGACCTTGGAACACAGCTCAGGATACGCATAAGAAAAGAGCAACGAAGTCTCCAGGTGAGCTTTCTTGACATAACAAACTCAGTGAGCCAGTAACGGGGAACTGAGAGTGGCTACAAAAGGAGCGCCTGGGGTCGGCCTGTGGTGACACTGCAGTCCTGTGTCTGGATCGTAGTGGTAAATCGACAAAGGGACACGTGCACAGCACACAGACGGGTGCATGCGAACATGCGAACGGAAGAAACCGACACACGCTGAGCTCTGGGAGTTACGGACTGACATCAAGTAAGCTAGCAACAGGGGAGAAGGTTGGGGGAAGGGAGCACAAGCCCACCCTGAACATCTCTCTGCCGCTCTTGTAAATCTAGAAGCATTGCAAAAGGAAAAACTAAAAAGCTTCGCCCAAACAACGGTTTTATTCCGCGCAGACTTACGCGTTCAGTGTTGCGATAAGGCAGAGGCAGGTGCCTTCTCGAGTTCGGAAATTCTTGTGCTTGAAGCCGCCGAGCATCCTGTCCCACACATACTGCAGGCGACAAAGAACACGTGAAGGGAGGGCAAGTCTGCAGCCTCCCGTGCAGGCAGGGCAGATGGCAGAGAGGCCGCTCAGGACTTGTCCACGAGAAGCCCACTTAGTCCTCCCAATAGTCCTGGAAAATCATGCCTTGGATACGGGCTCTCGAAAGGCCCATGGAAAAACAGAAGTAAAAGATAATGGGACCTTTCCATGAACTTTTTGAAGACCCCACAAATTGTACTGTAAGATTTAAAAATCCTATTTCTTCATACAATTGCATTTAACTCTCCCAATAGCCCTGAAAGAGTGCTATACATTTTCTCATTTTACAGATGATTAAAGTGAGGCCCAAAAGGTAGGTGAAAGATCCCATATTTCACACTGTTCCCCTGTCTAGATAAGTTCTCCCCACCCCAGCCCAGAAGTCAAGCCTGTGTTGATTTTGCTCTAGCACCCTGACCATGGACAAAGGGATCCTGTGGAGTTCCGCACGTCATCAGCCCAGGCATAAAGCAAGGGCTCCAGCCAAGTATCCTGACTTCCTGGACAATAAGGCTAACTCTTTTCAAACTATGATGAGTCAAAATTAGCTACCGAATCTAGGAGATGGCTGTACCAAGTCCTCAACACCTGTGTTGGGTCAACTATTATTTTTCCCCAAAATTGTTTTTAAACGTGATTGATTACTTGTATAACTCTTCTGTACTGTGCAGTGGAGGGTAGATTAAATGCTACGAAGACTTTCATCTATGATATACCAGCTGGAAAGAAGTCAGTCTTTTACAGAAGAAACACGTTCATGCACACGCGTGCATGTCCTACCTGAGGATTCGCAGACTGGTCCATGATCCGTAGCAGCAGGGTTTGGTCTTGCTCCCGCACAGAGTCTTTAGCATCTCCCAGTCTGTCTATTAAACTTGGCAGCACTGGAAATCAAAATGCAAGTTGTTGCCAATGAAAAGGCTATCGTTACCAGCGGTTGCTATTTCAACTCATTGGGACAACAAAGCCCTGGCCTATGTGCTGTGCATCACCCTAAATACCACTGATCCTTGCTCACAGGGCTAACTATAAAAACCTGAAAACGGGCTTTCTGTAGACAGACACGTTATGGTATATATCATTTCCCTTACCCCACAGTCACACAGCATAGACCCAACATACTTTTAATTCGGTGAAATCCTGTGAAAAGGAATCCCCACCAAACAACGGACAAGAACCCACACAGAATTAAATTCAGGTAACAGGTGAGAGCTTGGCGTTCCTTTGCTTGGGAAAGTTAGGGGCAGGCACCTATACCTAACACACAGGCCAGGTTTTCAGCCCCAGCCCTGTACTCTAGCCTTCCCTCACACCCCCAAATGGGGCCCAGAAGTCTAGGCTGCAAAGGCACGTACACATTAGAGATCATCAGACTCTGTTTCTTCAAAGAGTCTGTCTTTCTATTCTGAGAGCTATTCCTGAGTTGTTCAAGGAGTAAAATGGGACTTCTCAAAGTAATGAGACATGCTTGTCATTGCAGATGACAGTTACTCTGAGCCACATTGGAGAATGTATTCCTGTCCATGTCTAAAGGAGCCCACTGATCAGGACCAAGAAGCAAACCAAAGCAACAAGTACCAATCTGAGACTGCACAAGCAGAGCTATTTGATACTTAAGTGTCCTTTTGAAATCTCAGATGTCTGGGGCATAAAATCCAAGATATTTTGGTTATCTTTAAATCTATTAAACCTATACTTTTTTTTTTCATTTCAGGGGATGTAGTTTTCCCTTCCATAAACAATTACAATAAAAGTAAAAATGGTAATACAGATAACAATCTTTTAGGGAGAAAGAAATTGCATAGGGTTTTCTAAGACTTCTCAAAATCGGTCTCTCCATAAAGAGGGGTAAACAACTTAGTTGGCACTAAAGAGTGATGGCTAATTTTGTACAAGAAACAAAAGCAATAACGTGTCATATTAGCCCATACATTGTGGTATTCCCTTTTAGAATAGGAGGCTGGAAGAAGTCAGGCAGAAAGGAATTGGAGGATGGGATAAAAATCTCAGCATGTGCAGCCAGACCAGTGGGTATGGGTGCTTCCAGGAGAGGGAAGGGAGGGGTGCAACCTCTGCTGGGGGACTATGTGAGGGGGTTGGATGAAGAAATTTAGAGGGAAAGGTTGAGAAGCTCAAAGGGGTGGTGGCTGGTGGGTTTAGGTAAGGAAACTGGGGGAAATGCTGGCGGGCATCTGGGGGCCGGCTCCACACCTGCCCACAACTCACCTGTGCCAATCTGTGCCTTGAATCGATCCTGCAGCCGAGTCACCAGCGTGGAGAGGATGTCCATTCCCAGAAGAACTACCTGCACCGGAAAACAATGGCTCAATTAGCAGCCAGCCTGGGCTCCCCATGCTTCCACCTACCTACTCGCTGGCTGCAAGAACGCCCCAGCATCTCTGGCTCAGAAAACCTCTACAAGAGTACACGTAGGCAGCAGAAGATTGAAGTGATTGTGAAATGCCTGAGAGCTCCTTTACAAAAAAAGAACTGCTTGCCGATTATAGAAAATAGCCAGCAAGTAGAAAAAGAGCAACCTATGGGCGGCCTAAGTCCTTGAGCACCGCCCCTGGGCAAAAAACGCGCCATGGCCCCACCCCTAACCCTGCCCGTTCAGAGGAGGACCTAGATATGCAAATAACCGCGAAACCGCCGTGGAGCCTTCTGGGTAGAATCGCGTAGCTGCTCCGCAACCCCACGGAAGTCTCTAAAAACCATGGGTTTGTGATTTGCTTGAGGATGTGTACTCATTGGGGGTGTGCTAGCCACTAAGTAACCATGGTGGAATTAATTAACTAAGTCACCACAATTGTACGTGGCATTCGCGCTTCCTGGTTGGTGCGCTGAGCGCAGTCTCACTCTAACCATCCTTTTCTTGGGGTTGCGCTACTATCCAATGAACGTGTAGTGAGGGTAGTACTGCTAACGCCTACGCAACACATTCGCATTAGTTAAAGCTCTGCTTTATTTTGATGCAATTTTTGGAAAAAAGGAAAAGCCTGTTTTCCATGATTTCCAAAAGCAGTTCTACTTTTTAAGGTACTCATTCAGCATGTGTTGTGAGTAGAAAATTATACTCAGGAATGGTTAGTTTTGCTGTACATCTCTGCCCTGTGTGTTGTCACTTTCACAAGCAATTTCAAATATGCAACTTTTTCTGTAGTATCTCATGATACTGAGGGCCGTTTGAGCTGTTAGTTCAGTCATCAAACCAATACAAAATTTCATCACTTCTAATCCAACTCAAATCATCAGGCACTGTTGATTGATTTATATAGTTCATGTCTCTATTTTGCAGCTGGTTGGTTTTGAAATCCACTACTTCAAAACTGAAGGAGCCAAAATTTGAAATGTAATTAGCATAACAAACTGGTTTTAGTAAAGTTTTTAAACATTTTTATAAGAGTTTAAGAAAATACAATTCTTAAAAATAATTACTCCTGTAACTAAAGAAAATGGCATCAGTTACAAAAACAGAGTACCTTCAAGCTTCCTAGGAGTATAAAGTGTGGTGTTAACTTTGCAGAGATGTTACAACCATAATTAATCATGTTGACAGTACGTCCATCCCCCTTGATATATAAGAAAATAGCACTTTGACTCTATAATCTTTCGCCCCCAAAATCACAACTCCAGTCCAATTATGAGAAAACGAAATCTCGATTGAGAGACATTCTACAAAACCTCCAGCAGTTCTCCTTAAGACTGTGGGGAGTACTGAAAACAAAGTCGGAGGAACTTCAGTGAAGAGGAGCCTGAGGAGACAAAACCACTGAGATGCCTGAAAACGATTTTGGCACACACACAAAAAGATTGGGTAAAAATTTAAATTCTGTCATTCATTGTAACTATATGTATTATGCTAATGTAAATAAGCTAGAAATCACAGCACGCCAGGTTAGTAGAATAACGTGTTCTTGCATTGAGGGAGGGCTTGAGCAGAGGCCCAAAGTCTGTCCACTGCCACAATGTATTGCCATATAAATATATGTACTTAGGCCAATACTTCTATCTTTAAGAATATATTTACATATATACACACCTGAGTTTATACCTATTATCCACAGCTTTTCTTCCTAAATCTTTCCTGTTTTCTTTTACCTTTCTTCTGCCTCTTAGTAATTCCTCTCAGCTAGATTGCTGTTGCTCCAACACCCCAGGATCTCTGCATCATCCTCCTCCTCACTGGATTTTAATTCCCTAGTTGTTCTCCTGTTTATGGCGTTGTTTGCTCACCACTTCCTTCCCCAGCCCCCTTCGCCAAGTTGGTTCAATACTTTCTCCTTGGACTTGTTCCCCATGCCTATCTTATATAGGTAAGTAAACCAACAATTACGGAGACAAAACAAAAAGAAAAGGTAGAATTAAAAAGAGAAGAAAGAAAAAAAAAATATATATATATATATATATATACAATCTCTCCCCACTGGTCCTGGGGAGTTCCAGGAACTGCCCCTTCTAGTCTGAAGTATACTTTTGAGGCTCCTCAAGGACTTTGTGGCTTTGCTTTGCTCCTGTTGCTGATCTTTTATGTTCCCTTCTTGGTTCACCCCACTGTGGGGTGTTCATACCAGACTCACTCCCCACCTTGTGTCCCAGATTTCTTTTTAATTCTTTTAAGAAGGAGGTTATGCACAAGGTGACGATAGGATCAGGTATCAGGCATCAAAGAACAAAAAAAAATTATATAAATGAGGGGGAGTGCGGAGTAGAGACCCAAAGCCCATCTGTAAGCAACTGGACATCCCCTTACAGAAGAATTGGGGAAATGAGAAGAGCCAGTCAGGGTGCAGTATAGCACCGATAATACAAACAACTTCTTCTAGTTCTCTAATGTTTTATCTCCCCCCGCCCACTCCCCCACTATCATAATCCCAGTTCTACCTTACAAATCCGGCTAGACCAGAAGATGTACACTGGTACAGATAAGAGCTAGAAACGCAGGGAATCCAGGACAGATAAACCCTCAGGACCAATCATGAGAGTAACGATACTAGGAGGGGAAGGGGAAGGTGGGGAACAATCACAAGGATCTACATGTAACCTCCTCCCTGGGGACAGAAAACCGAAAAGTGGGTGAAGGGAAACATCAGACCGTATAAGACATGAAAAAATAATAATTTATAAATCACCAAGGGTGAGGGAAGGAGAGTTGGGGAGGGAGGGAGGGGAAAATGAGGAGCTGATACCAAGGGCTCAAG